CGCATGATCATCTGGCTCATCAACTCATTGTATGATAGCGATAGATCTTAGATATTATTTATAAAGCTTGATATTTTTCTGTAGCGTAATACTGTATGTACTGAGAACTATGAAAGGACGAAGAACATACAGTAGAGATTCGATTTGTTTCGATTCAATACAGGATACCCTTATCATATATTATCTCTTGTGTTATATGTCATCACAGGCATCTTCAAACTAGGATCTAGCATCGTGACCAAAAAACGTTTTTGGTTCGAACCGCAAATGGCTGCACTATTTCGTTGATTCGAATATAAGATAATTTCTTAAGTGTGCATTTTGTAGAGAATCTTTTTCTCTATCGAACTGTATAGGTTAGATCATAATAGAACACTTTCTCTTCAACTATTGCAGCAAAATGATCGGGCGAATTTCGCTTCTGCACAGCTCGCTCAAAACTAACCCTTTGGTTTCTTTTTGACACTGGTCTAAAAGAAAGTTTTATGGTATCGTTGAAAGTATACAGCTTCGAAGAGGAAACGGTTCTCTATAAAATATACATTTAACAGATTATCTAACATTCTAAACAGTAAAATGGTGCAGAAATCTTCGGTCGCGCTGCCGCACCATACCTTATACGTGTTCTCCCTTTCCTAATAAAATGAAGAGTTAGGTGAAGAAAGATGAATGTTCATTTAAATTTCAAATCCAAAGGTGTCAAAATGTTTCTAAGTGTGAACTAGAGACGTTGTCATATCAAAATCTCGTTCATTTAGTCTACGATCACTACTTCTCTTCTCTGCACTATTATACTAGAGTGTGAGACACATCCTCTTCTGGTGTCCAATTTGTGATTCGGTACGCTAGCAAAAACGAATACTAACAATAATTTATACAAGATTCTTCGCTGTCTGTTTTCTGTAGTCACACCAACAGAAGCAAAAAAATCAGAATTGTATTTTGGACTTGTGTTTCGAAGGAAATTCTCCTACTATCACAAATACAAGTTACATTACATCCTGAGAATAAATCTTTCAGTTTCGATGTATGATACATTTCCTTGCACATTTGGAGTTATGAAAAACTTTTACCTAATTCTTGTTCCACTCATAATGAAATTCTCTTATGGGCCGTTGACCTCAGGGCTCAACATACGTTTAACATCGACCCTATCTCACATGTCCTCACCCTCTCAACCAACTTTCAGTGTCAAAACACCCTTCGAAACCATGTTTTATGAAGTTTTGAACATTTTCAAAAAAATGCAATTTGACCTTTGACCGTTGACCTGCGACAGACATACTCACAAACGAATTTGGATTTTGGACCACTTTTTTCGGCATGACTCTCCTTTCAGTCGAGGGAATGAAACAATGCTCAGTACATCTAGCTACAATCTAACTATGAATCTATTGAAAGGCATGCACAAACAAGAGAAAAATGTCATTTGACGCGATGTCATCGAGGATATTAGACTTTATATCCATCTTTATTTTTTTCTGGAGACTTTTTAGCCGATGCTGGAGTATCGATCGAATAAGCCGATGGTTCGTCCACGACACCTATCTCTACAGCTGTACTTCGACAATGTTGAAATAAACACCAGATAACGATAGCAACAATCATTAGTGAAAGCAGTAGCATATTAATGAGCATAACCGTATTGTGAACAGCAAGTATGCTCACAAGTTTATGAACTCCATTGGGAACTTTTTCATTGATCACAGCTGTTATCTGTTCAAGCAATTTAGCCGCATCACACCAATTGTATGTAATAATTTGCGTATCATAGTTAGAGACTTTCGAAACATATGGACCCATACCAAATCAGAACGAAAAGCAAATCAATTAGAAAAAAATGCTACATTCTACCTAAACCTCGAATTCATCTCCACTAATTTCGTCAATCGCATTCATTTCTTAACTTTGAAAACTTATACTACAATGAATGGAATTTATCCAAAACAGTATTACACTTTTTAATTTCAGAGAGGACGATTCAACACGAATGCCGAGCGACCTCCGACAGAGAGAAGAACAACCAGCTTCACCAAACCGAAATAGTAAATGAATGAAATTAGTTTCAACACGTCCAACTGAAAGCACATATGCTCGCATAATCTCTTACACAATCGTGACAACAAACCATGATACGTGCACAGATCATGTGCTTCCATTCCATACCGTCACGATCAGACCGACCATTATTACACGTCGCATCTTCACCTTCACAAGTATATTCATCCTAACTAATCATCCACCTCCATCTAACTCACGTTCCAAAACCAAATACACACACTAAAGTGTATGTACGGATCGCACCAAATGAAAAATACATCAAATGTAGCGAATATCAACAATGAAATTTTCTCTTATCCTATCTATTACTATATCCTAGAATCCTCCATCCAAAATTACATCATCACACAGAGCAATTAATTCGAAACCGCATTCAACATTTTCATCTATACACAGATATCCTCACACGAAGGAATGTTCTCCTCCATGTTCGCACATACAATGTACACGTGTAGCTGCAGAGGAAATGAAAGTTTCGGTTTCGGATCCGAAGTTCGTGACCATCGTAGATATCGTTTCGGGTGTTTTTCCATCAAGTAGAGCTTCTGATTCCGAGTCAGAATCTGTATTTCGATGGTTAAAATTCATATTACGAAAGGGAGAAACGCTCTCCTCCATGTTCGCAGATATGCACAGTTGAATATGTATAGATTGTGGGTGTGAACCTTAACTGGGAAGTCACTTTTACGATCGATTGTAGATATCGTTCGTAGTTTTTTCTGAAAGAGACACTGTTTTTCGCAGAGAGAAAGGAGATGTGATGCTGAGAAATTCTGTTTGGAGACGGAGAAAGGCTCACGGGTATATTGTTAGATTTGGTCGACATGCGTGTACGTGCAGCGGAGGTGAGAATTTGATGGTCAATTCGGATTGGTTTGTTTATCGGAAGGATTGATGTGGTAGGCTTTTGTATATAAGGGGAATGGAGTTGGGATATGGAGCGTTATGATTTTGGCTAATACATGGTTTTTGAAGTGAAAGAGGCTTCATTTCAACCTTGAATAAATATTTGCTTAGCTTATGGAATCCGGTAGTGGGGAACTGGGAGGATCGGTGTTTTTACTCTGTGGATACGAATGAAGATTTAGTTTTGATGCTGCATATGTAGGAATCTGCTTTTGTGTTGTCGAATTGCATTTAGTTTGAGATTTGAAGAAGTTTTGGTTTTTCCCAATTATCTTGAGGGTATTTTTTGGATGCCGTAGTCTTTGCCTAAGTTGGTGTGGTAGAAGCGATGAGTGACCGTTTGGTTCCATGCGAATCAGGATCTGCGCTGTTTCTCATGCATTTGTGTGAGATGGTGACCGGCATAGTGGGCAGTAGTTGTACAGGATGGGGTGTTTCTTGAATATACAGGTATTACTTATTTCGACTGTTGAGCCATTGCAACTGCGGCAACCTGCGACTGTGATACGGAATGGTCTTAAAGAGCTCTCTGAGCGATGGTTCAGATTTTGTTTGGAGCAGCAGTTCTGGTGCAGATGTTTAGGCGTTTTCATTATATGCCATTAGCATGGGTATCTAATGACAAATACGAAATATCTATGCCGAACGCATCACATACGGAGAAATTGTACTGGGTAGAAAAAGCAACACGCTCAAAATTTCGACACTTACGGTCCGTATGTTTCCGGTTTTGCACTGCACAACGCAGTTGCTTCGGTTGCAATTTTGTACGCAAAGACGTTGCTGAATCTTATTTCTGCAATAGGAGTTTGATTAATTTTCTTTGACTATGATATTTATTCCACATTCCAGTCGTTCATTTATAGACTTCACTGCCTCTTTAACACGTCAGCCTATAGATTATATCTTCTCATTCACCCTTTCTTCTTTCACTCTGATCCACCATCGAGGTTGGTGTCAATCTTTTCAAAGCCTGCATCGCTACTGATTGACTACATCGATTTCCTGTAGTCACTGCAACACCCATAAATGTATACCACGCGTGAAGTGTTCTCTGCGAGCGCTCAGACGGCCTTCGGCCGCCTTCGCTATCACAGTTAATCTCGATGCTTTCTTCAACGAAAATCCACCCTCAACCACCCTCCCAAACCATGTTTTATGAAGTTTTGAGCATTTTTGGAAAAAATGTTTTTTTGACCTTTGACCCTGACACAAACCCACACACAAACTATTTTTTTTCATATGACCCTCCTTTCAGTCGAGGGAACAACTTTAAAATGTTTATCCTATCTACACAGATTTTTTTTGTGTAAAAATGATTCGTAGAATAAAAAAAGAGATTAAAACCTTGGAAATTTTTTGTAGTCGGAAGAAGATAAGTGTTTGCCGTTATTTTCGAGGAAGAAACTATGTAGCCATTTTATTGTTTCATTTAACAACAAACGCGTCGTTCTCTAAAGCAAAATAATGCAAGTGAGTATCAAAGATCCAGTTCAATAACATATTTTCCATTGATAGAATCAATTTTAAAACCCGATAAATAGTCTAGTTAGACGATTTGTTTTTGTTCTTTTCGTCGAAGATGATCTGTATAATAATGGATTCTTCTAAAGATATTACATAGAATACGTAGGAGCCACCGAGAAAGATTAAGTCTTTTCTTTATAGTTCAGGAGTCACTCATCCAGCCAATCTCATCTTCGAACTCCATCGAGATCTTGATATAGTAATATGCCATGGAAAATTTCGTCAATCGCATCAGCCCGCCAGGAGCCATTGTATAATGAGAGGATAGGAGCCGTTGAGATTCTAGTAATGCTCGTGCCTTTTCAGTATCTTACAATATTAAAAGGTCCCACATCTGTTCTCAGTAACATCCTGTTCACTTTTTATCACCCAGCATATCTAGAATGGTTTCCTTAGCGCTAACGGATACAAAGATGATTTGGGTGAAATATACCCATTTTTCCTGGGAACCGTCATAATAGCGTTCCTAACCATATTCTGGCCCTTTTGGTAGATTGAGCTAATTATAGTTTGATTTTTGGTATGGTTATCTACTACGGAATCGCTTGGAAATGTTACACTCTCACCCTTTCTCCTTAGTTTTTACTTCAGGTTTTCTTCCGTGAAAAGCATAGCTTGAATTGATTGTTTTCCTTTTTAGGTTTATTCTATTGCTGATACGATAAACAATGATAAAACAACAGGTAAAGTTGGAAGAAAAACTACGCATATTCCTTATCTTCAATAATAGAAGACAGTATCATTTTAGACGAAGAATATTCTTTCAGTGGACTTGCTTGTACAGGATTCTAAAAAATACTTGCAGGAAAAACTTCGCATAATCTATGCGAGAAAAAGATAACAGCTAGTGATGAACTGATTTTAATCGATTTCTCATGCAAGAATAGCTACTTTCAGGAAAAGAAATAAAAAGAAGTGAAATAATTTGAAAATATTGAGAAAGAGTCATGTGTATTCAACCTTAAATTTTCCTGCGAATGTAATTCTTCTGAAGTTCTTTTGCATGAATTATATACATATAGTGTGAAAATTTTATTCACTCGATAGAATTAGTAATGAGATTGTTTTCTTTTCTATACGATCCATCATCAAGATCATTCGTATATACGTTTAGATGCAATAAAAATTTCCATTCCCGACAACCCTGACGCGTCGCCAGAAGAGAAAGCTGACAAACTTCGAGGTGGCGGAGACGGCGCGATTTTAGCGATAGCGCTCTGTTGCTGTCTGATATTTTTTGTTGCTCCTTTGGTTACTGGCATTGTGTTGGCTGCCAAAGGCGAAAAAGAAGTTGGCTATCCTCTTATTGGTGTTAGTCTCTTTCTTTGCTTCTGTGGTGGCGGTGGCGGTACTTATTACAAAAACAGTTGATTTATGATTGTCCTCGAAACTGAACCTGACCACAACGAGTGCGTCAAATAAAAACTTTTCCTTTTACAATTTAATCTTGAATCATTTTTTGTTTTTTGAAAGATCAAATAAGACTAGTAACGCTCGTCGAGGCAGGCTCGCTTAACCCTCGACTGAATGACTAGCAATAAAATATTTCTTTTGCTGAAATTATTCATAATAATCTGAATTCTATTATTGTTATTATGTACTCGTCATAGTTGTTATGCACATTGTCATCTGAAAAGTCATATCGTAGGTATTTAAAAAAAGCATTCTAATTCAAATAAAAGTTGAGAAGGTTCGTTTCAAAATTTCGCTAAACAACTTCATAACAGAAATTTATTTGATATTCAATCAAAACAAAGAAAAATGAACAGAGAAAAACAATATCTAGGTAAATATCCACTACATAATCTGAAAGTGACACCATCTTATTTAAAAGAATATTAAAATGTAGAACAATGCATAGCTGGTATCATTATCTTTTCTTCACTTCCTAAACACACTAACATTAATGGAATCACCCAAATAAAAAGATTGATAATATAAAACACGAAATACGCTTTTATCGTATTATCCCAAAACACCATATGCGATTGTTTTAAATACAATATAATAACGACAATATGTGAAATAAGATCAGCATATTCATAACTCCACAGTGTTAAATGTCTAAAACAAGAATTCATTCACACTCTCAAATCATTGAGAAAAGATGAACCAATTCACTAAGAAAAAAAGAATTCATTACTGATAGATGAGAAGTGGACATTATTATTTGAAAAGACCATAACAAATCTCTTGTTTTAATGATACTTATAATATAGCTATTACGTCTGTTTAAACACTAAATACACGTGTTCACATTATTATTTCTCTAGCTGGTTTTTTTTAAAAAGATAAATATCTCTTCTCTACATTTAATCTCCACAAAAATAATTTGTCTACCTTTTTGAACTGGGAAACCATAGAAATGGAGTTAATGTCCAAAACAATAATTGAAATAATTCCAATATTAATGATGCTGTTAATACTCTATCTTTGATTCCACTAGTTGGCAATTTGTAGTTTATTCTATTATCGATCATAAAATATGATGTATGTGATAATTTTATCAATAATATTGCCTGAAATACGACAAATAACAATCGATATAAATCGCTTTCCAGTGCTTTTTCATCGTTTTTAGCAAGTGAACTAAATAAAAATGTTAAAGTCAATAACGCTAACAACGATATGGGTAAAATAAATCCATCATAATAACCATAATACATGTCAACAACCAATATCGCTGTAAAGTATAACATTGAAAGTAAAGTTGATCCTTTCATTATCAAACACGACAATTGCTCTGCATTTTCATAAGAAACTGGTGGAATAACACCAAATGACATACCCGAAAGCCAATACTGGATAGCTGTAGCCAAAGTAGCAAATCCATGAAGAAAACTAAACCAATCCATTAAGTATAAAACTGAAACGAAATATACAGAAGATCTATTTGAGTATCAATAAAGGATGGGATCGTTGATATATCATCTATAATCAATTTTATTTGTTAACCCTTTGAGTCCCAGTGGTACATATACGTACCACCTATGGGAAATTTCTATTTTTCAAAATATTCTTCAATTATTTGGTGTTTTTAAGATCTGGAAGAAATACTTACAGTAAATAATGCTAATTAGGGTATAATATCGAAACATTGCATAGACATTCCTTTGAATAGAGATCGTGGAACAGTGTACTGTCGCGTGTCTGTATGTGATTTTCGCAAATTTTTTCAACATTGTAAATTTTGAAAAAAACATGTTTTATGAGTTATTGCGTTGTAATGAAGAAATGTACTATAACGACGCGATTCTTCAGTGGTCACTATACTTTCTATTGAATAAAGACCACTTAATGGATAATTCTTTTCTTCGCTAAAAGTGGTGCGGTGTAGTACTTGAACTATCTGAACTCTGAATGAATGCTTTCAAGAACCTAACTAATTTCTTTTCTAAAATATAATGGATTCAGGGTTTTAATGAAATATACTCCGATAACAGTGGAAATACAAATAGTTTCGAAGATAATGAATCAATAATTGAAGATTGAGGATGGAAAACTGATAACTAAAATCAGGATTTTATATCTCTTTCGATAACTAATAGGGAAAAATTCTAAAAATTGACGATGATTAGTTCATTTGTGATATAATATTTCAACTTATCGTAGATGCACTTATTACAGTACTAGAAAGAGAGAAGAAAAAAGAATGGATGAAATATGTATCTATCGCCGTATTTTTGCCGTTGTTTAAAAAATTGTTTTTCATTATATCAGCAAAACTATGTGCACTCACAATGAACTGAATAAATGTATGTTGCTATAATGACATAGCTTTTTATTATAACCTAAGCAGGGGTCTCATAATACCATTTAGACACCTAGAGCTGTGTTCTGTCAAACTAAACTTCACGAAAAGAAGTCGGGACTCAAAGGGTTAAACATTCACATTGGGATAAAAATCGAAATAAGAAGTATCGAATATACTTTAGTTTCATCATAGGTGCTTTCACTCACATCAACCTGACTTGGATAAACTATTCAACGACATAAAAAGGTAGCAAATTCTATGATACTATCACTATATATCCATAAGTCTAAAACCTTCCAAACATCTCTTCGAGATGTCACAGTATTTTTATACGGTGAATGGATACAGTTACCTGCTTAATTAAAATAGATTATGTATGAGTAGTGTAGAAATCGTTAACTCGATTCGAGTATTAAAACTTCCTTCGAATTCTAAAACTTATAAATCTAAAACTCGAAGCTTCGAGTATTCGAGTTTTACAAACCCTCACCCTCACCCACACCCACCGTCGTAATCAGTTAGTCATTTAATAATTATCGTTTAATTAGTGGATATTTAATAGCCATTTAGTTAAAAGTTTAAAACTCGAAAACTCGAATACTCGAAGCTTCGAAGTCTAAAATTTAGAAGTTGAATAGTTGAAAACTCGAACTGAAAGTTTAATACTCGAATAGTCTCTTCGACTTTTACATGTATGTTATGTATGAGATGGTCTCAACTGTGTATCGACGTAGACAGGCCCTGTAGATTTGAACAGTGATGTGTATAAGCATGGTCGCGCATTTGAAAGCTTTTATAAGCATAGAAAACCTGGCTTTATTCCAATCTGATATGAATCAGCACAACAAGAAGCATTTCTTGAGAAATATTGAAATTTCCATGAGTTTTGTCCCATGTAGATGATGTGATACAACAAGAGAAGAAAAATGCAGCTAGAGAAGTCATGTAAAACATTGGATATGAATCATGATAAAAACTCCACTATAGTTTATCTTCATCAGACGATAAAAGATTCATTTTCTGACACATAGGACTTTTCTTAGTTTATATTATATTTTTGAAATTTTGCTGAGAAACCTGATGAATTTCCTCAAGCTTAGATATCAAACGTTTTTATGTTGATATTTTAATCAAATTAAAATCATTGTTGAAACAAAAAAGTATCGAACTAAACTGAGTCGGTTTGGTGAAAATGAAAGTTTTCGTATATTGACAAATTATTGAGTTATTACGTTTCTCATGTAATTTCATCAACGTTTGGCATCTGCAACAATATGAAGCAAAAAAAAACTCTAAATCAACATCTACTTTCCATCAATAGAGCTTTGTACAGTTTTCTTATGTGAAAAAAGTCGGTTGAATTCCATCTAAAAAAAGAAACAAAAAAATCTACTTTCTATCGATTTTTTGTGATGAAAGATCGTTCGAGAAAAACGCATTCTTTCTTCAGTGTAATTCAAATCGAATCTGATCATATGAGACGACAAGAAGTCTTCAATGGAAACTAAGTTCATATGTTTATAGTTTAATCATACAATATTTGAGCGAACATCGATTATTTGAAACATAATACAGAAACAATTCTTATGCATCTTTGTGAATATAGCCAGAAGTGATTTACCCACATCTATTCTAAAAACGGATATAGAACTATTTTCGTTACTTTTTTTTTGTTTTTTCAATGTCAATGAAACACGAAATGTACGATTAGATTGAAAAATGACCAAGTTGATGATCGAATAATTCTTGATCTTATTACATACAATCTAATAAGATGAACTCTTCTCTATCAGTTGAAAAACATGATGATAACAATATTAGTTTCTATGAAATATTTCAAACAAAGAATTGCTATGAAGTAGAATATCTTGTAAAAACAAAATTTCTTATAACTTAAACGTTATTGAGTAAATCTCTTTTTCATTTGAAGATGTTTTGTTTTAATTTTTAGAAAAGAAAAAGATTTTCAATTAATTATATCGATATCATCTTATAAATAAACAATTGAATCATCTTCAACAAGTTAATCAAATAAATCATTGAATAACAAATTCTCAAGTTTATCAAAATGTTATTACATTCGAATTATTATCTTATAATAATATTCATAAATCATCTCATCAAATATGCCATTGATAAATCGAAATGATTAGGATCTTGAGGGTGTGGATTTAGATTCCAACCATCATCTGGGTAAAATTCTGATGGGCGATGTGAACATTGGCATTTCTTTGATTAATATCGAATTTCATCCTCATCTTTATTCTCAAGATTTTACTATTCATGAAAAAACAATTATCACTGCAGCGTCTCTCATTGTGCACTGTAAGTTTGAGTCTTATTGTTCTTTGATACTCTTTTTTTTACATGCTGATAGGATATATTATCATTCAACATGAGTCATGGATGGTTTTTTTCTCTACAGAATGACTCGTATTAGTAAAGAGTCAGAGAGGTTCTATCATTATCACACAAGTCAAAACATGACTGAAACGTGTAAGAACTTTACAATTGTCAGAATAAGATTCGCTTGAATATTTTGTTTCATTTGATTTTTTAAAATACTTGTAACATAAAAATCTTCTAGTGAACTCGAATATCTAGATCAATTGGTTAGTTATATGAATCATTTTTGTACTTTGTAGAATGGTCGCTTTGAAAGTGTTCGTCTATCTTCTTCTTCTCTGCTGTAAACGTGCAGAACTTGTTTCAACTGCCAATGAAAACATTAGAAACACCGACGATTGTACCTATGAAGACGCGCGATTCGGTCGTATTGATTTATCTGAAGTAGGTTTAAAAGATGGTGTACCAGCCTTTCGAAATTTGGAGAAGGGCGATTACTTTTACTCGTAAGTGCTCAATCTCTACTATGACTTAATTCATATATTGATATGTTTTTCAAAAAACTATATATAGTTATAATCCTTGTTATTCATTCACTGAAAAACCTCTATGTAATGACGTAGCTGCGTGTCAAAGTAAAGATTTTCTCTTGATGGATTGAATTCTGCAGTATTTTTGTCTTCTGATCTGATTAGTATATAAAGATGGTTCTATATCATTTCCACTCGGTTACAATTCATTCGCTACATGGTCAATCTCAGAAACTGGCAATGCATCACTTATTTATTCAGTAGGTACTCGTCAATTAACAGTAAATTTAGTTTGTTCGCAAGAATTAGATAGATGTTATGTGAATGACGAACCAGAATTACACAAATATAGTTTTACCCTATTAAGTCGATGTGCCTGTTGGAATCGATGTGTTAAAAGTGGAATCAGTTCGTTTTCAAATGTCTCCATTGTCCTTTTCTGTTTTTGTTTAGTTGTTCATCTTTGTTTTTTTTTGTTCGAATGAAGAAGTGTGTTTTCTAAGTGGATTCGCTTGTTCCTTTAGAATTGCTCATTGGATAAGAAGTTGCCAGGCCTCGCAGCGGCCCTTATTTTTGAGGGTGTGGGTGCGGGTGTGGGTGGGGTGTGTGAGGGTGAGGGTGTGGGTGAGGGTGCAGGTTAACAGGTACTCAAACCCTTGTCCGCAGCCCACACATCTACACCCTTAAGATGGCTTTTGGTGGTTAATTATCTCATAGAACTATGCGAAAGAAATAGAATTAAAGCTTAACAATCACAGGAGGGAATGTTGAGTGTCAACGAGTCCGCTGAATTGTATTTGATTTGTTTTGTAGAATAAGTTTCGAGATCGAGATGTGGAATGGATCCCATATGAATCACATTTTGTTTGCACTGAAAATGTTTGATAAGTACGAACGCATTTTCTTAACTGTTTCATAGAAATGTTTTCTATACACTTCTGAGGGCAAAACAAAGATGAGAAAGATGAGAGTAGGCGGAATGAATGGAATAAAATAGCCCGCTAAAAGCATCCACGGATCTCGACCTGGTTTCATACAACCAGAAATAAACGAAATAATAATGCGAGGGACGGCGAGTAGAACGAGAACGATGGAGCTGATCGGAAGATGTTTGTGACAGCGGAGTTTTTTTTGTTTTTATTTTTTTTTTGTAACAAAGCTTTTATTCGTGTATCAATACTGCATAGACAAGAGAATCGACGGTTAGTAGTTACACGTAAGCTGGACACGAGAAAACGAAAACAGAAAGGACCCATGACGTATGTCTTTTGTCCTTGTAAAAGAAGCGTGAGAAAATAGGCATGGAGAGAAAATAGGTTTCTGTATGATAGTGGTGTGCGTTAGTGATGTGTTATGACAGAAAA